TCCGCGAACCGAGGCCGGGCCCTGCACGTGCGCGCGCCCCTCGCCGCCCCTCGGAGACGCCCGCGGTCCCCCGCCGGACTCCGGGGGCTGGGCGGAGGGGGGCTGGGCAGGGGAAGGAAGGCGGCTCACGCCGAGAGAGGGACGTGGCACAGTGACCTCGTGGCCCATCGTGCCATACGCTGTTCCTAGCCAGGTCTGCACCCGGCCTGCTTCCTTCCTCCTCCTCGTGGGGATTTTAGACACACTGGAGAGTGGGGTGCCCTTTGGGAGCGTGGGAACGCGAGGTGTGGGAGCTATGGGGAGACTTTTCTCAGACCTTCGTCCAAGGCACCTCTCCCTCCCAGTCTCCCCACGAGGGCAGAGGAGCCCATGTAGCCCAGCCAAGGTTCAGGTGTTGCCCTCAGGAGTGGCCCACCTGGGTGACCGAGTTGGTACCCTCTTTCCTTCACAATCCAGTCCAGTGCTCCTCCACCTGTACCCCTGGCAGCACACAGGTTGGCACTGGTGCCCCTTGGGCATGAGCATTCTGACTGCCACCCCCAAGCCCACCCCACATGGAATTGCGGAAGAGGGTGGAGACCTGCCCTGTGCCTGTGGCTCGGCTCATCCTTGCCCTGGGCCCTGGGCCAGGTGTCCTGCTGGTTGCAGGCCTGGCATCAGCCCTACTCCTGGCTGCAGGGCTGTGTCCATGCCAAGAAGGGGTGTCAGTCCTGGGCCAGGGCAGAAAGGGGATGCTGGCAGCCCAGCGCCTCCTGCCCTGTCTCCTGCTGTTCCCTGTCCAAGGCTCCTCAGACATCGGGGTGCCCAGTCATCTGGAGGAGCCTCTCCTTGCCTGCCCATAGCTGAGTGTGTGCCAGGTGAGGGGTGGATGGAACACCTGGAAAATGCCAAGAGGCCCAGACACTGACCCCAATGAGCCAAGGCCTCCTCTCTACTGCAGAAGAAGGGCTGCCTAGGGGCAGGGGCAGGGGCAGGGGCAAGGGCACAGGATTCTTGTTTCCAAGGGGGTCTTTGGTGATGGAGGAGAGAGTATATCTTTGGTACATTTTTCATTGAAATCTTTTAGGGAAAGGCCCTGGGGAAACTCCTAGCAGTTTCTTTAGGCCTCGGGGCAGATGAAAGACCTGACCCCTCCCATCTGTGCTGTAGCTGATTCCTGGGGCTCCCTCCCTCCATCTCACCCACTCTGGATGCTGGAGCTGGCTAGCTCAGTGCCAGACTGAGTCTGTCTTTTCCTGCCAGCACCAGGGGTGCCTGTGCTTTGCCGGGCCCGGGTGGGAGGGTTTTGTGGTGAGGGGCACTTGCCGCTGGGTTTATCTATCCAATGGGCCAGTTCTACTGTGTCCTATAGAGCCCCTATGAGTTGGAATTGATTGGACAGCAACAGTGGTATCTGTCCAAGGCTGTGATTTCAGCAGGTGGATCCCATTGGAGCCCCTGGACTCTGGTGCTGCACCTTGACACACCCATCCAGCTCTGCTTTCCCCAGATCTGGGGTACGTTGTAACCAGGGCAAGCTGTGTCTGGGTCCTAACTATACGGACTCCTTCCTCCCTTCCCCACCCCAGGCCATGTCTGCGGGCTGCTCCCGTTCAGCTCAGCAGATGTTTCCCAGGAACCCGCTGTGTCCACACATGCCTGCACTCAGCCCCGCTGAGCGGGGGACTCTGGGCCCAGGCACCGGGCATGCAGCTGGCCTGGCTGTGTGTGTCCATGCTGTGCTGGGCCGGGCCGTGCCACAGAGCCGGTGTCTGGTTCACCCCGTGTTTACTCACCGTCTCCCCCATAAAGATGGGGGAGTCTGCAAGGGCAGGCCCTGTTTCTGCTGTGGGACTTCCATCCCTACATGGGAACTTCTATGTCCCTTGACTACTCTGTGCGCTGAGGTAATGGGTATTTGGGGCTGTCTCCCTGGGCGCGTGCCCTGGGTCCACAGACCCTCTGCTGTTCCTGCTGGAGCCACAGGAGTGGGCTGCAGCCGCGGCCTCTCTGCCTTCTTCCCTCCCCACCCAGTAACACTTGTTCTTCTCTCCTCCCAGCGACTTCCTGATCCTTCCCGGCTTCATCGACTTTACAGCCGATGAGGTGGTGAGTACCTCTTCCTTTGGGGAGTGGGAGGGGCAGGTGTAGGCGAGGAAGAGGCTGACTTCTTTCTCAAGGGCAGGGCGTGGGGGAGGCGTGTCAGGGCAATGGAAAGGCTCTACACCCTTGCTGCCAGAGAAACAAGTAATGCCTCCTGGGGCAGGGGTTGCAGTGTGGATTCGCAGATACCCTCAGAGGTGGGACAGAGAGCCTTCTGTCAGGGAGGCATCTGCGGTGGGGTCCCCCGGACAGGGTGTGGCAGCCTCATGGGATAGACCAAAGAATTGGATTCTGTCTAAAACCCTGAGCAAGGCCATGATAGAACCAGGACATCATGGGGATTTTGTACAAGGTGGACGAACTCATCCATTGAATCACAGTGTACGAGAATGAGCACAGATTTGAAGGAGCTAGGGTGCAGCAAACAGTAAACATGCTTGGCTGGTAACCAAAAGGTCACCCAGAGGTACCTGTGAAGAAAGGCCTGGCAATCTATTTCTGAAAAGTCAGCCATTGAACACCCTATTTAGTACAGGCCTGCTCAGACACTTGTGGTCTCCATGAGTTGGAGTCAATCCATGGCAGCTGGGTAGGCTTCAGGTTTGTGTAAGGAACAGTGTCTTGCTTTACAGGAGGGGCTTAGCAATGAGCCGGATAACAATTTTCTTCCTACAATGAAACCCGTGAGAGCCAGAACTTGCCTGCTGTGTCGCAGTTTTTCTGCTTTTGACAGGATGCAGTCTTAGCCACTTTTCTGTCATTCGTTTTCATGGACTGTATTTGAGTTTTCCTTCTCTGACAGGTTTCCACCTTACACTGGTTTTGGCTTTCTCAGGTTTTACTGTTCACTTGTTGTTGTTATTTGCCATCTAATTAGACCCGACTCATAGCGACCCCTTCTTGGGTTTCCAAGGCAGTATCACTATGGAAGTAGATTGCCCACAATGATAAACTCACAGAAAGGAGCTCTGGTGGCATAGTGCCTAAGGCATCTGACTGCTAACCACATAGTTGGCAGTTCGAACCCACCAGCTACTCTGCGGAAGGAAGACTGGACAATCTACTTCTGTGAAGATTTACTGCCTCAGAAACCCATAGGGGGTTGCTATGTGTCAGAGTTGACTTGATGGCAGTGAGTTTGGGTTTTTTGTTTGTTTTTTTTTTTTTGAAACTCAACGAGGCAGGGCAGTGCCCACTGGTATAAATCATTTCAATCAATTCTATCATGAATCATGGACTTTTTAAAATAGTTGATGTCTTTTTGGTCACTATTATTGTTGATGTTTAATCCAGTCTGGTTCTCATGGAAGGTTACGGTCAGCCCCTGAAGCTGGTGCTGATTCAACAGAATTTAGGGGCAAATCTGGGCTCTTCTGAAGGTTTCTCCTATGACAGCAACCAGGAAGCCTTCTTGGTTCAGCTGCTCAGTTCACCACAGTTTACTGAGCACCTTGACTTTGTACTGGACCCAGGGCTGGGCGCTGGGAAGACAGGAATGGATGGGACCCCCGCTTGGCTGCTGAGGGTCTCCCTGTCCTGTGGGCTCCTGTCAGAAAGGCTCTGGCTCTTCCGTGGGATGAAGGAGAAGAGGAGGTGGAGGTTGCTAGACTATGGGGCCAGGGTTCTGGACAGGATATGTGGATAGACTTCTGGGGCCTGCAGATCTCCAAAAATTACACAAGGAGTCCCTGACTTACGACAAGGTTCCATTCTGACCATTCCGTCATGAGTCAGTTCTGATGTAAGTGGAGGACCTGTTTTTTTTTTTTTCCTCTCCCTATTATTGCCTCTTATTATCAGTACCTTTATAAATCCTATCTTTGTCTTTGGATATTGGACACATTACATATAAATTTATAGATTTATTTTAACACGTACATTAAAAAAAATGCCAAAATCATTAAAAAAAAAAAAAATAGACGGTCATAAGTGAGATTCATCGTTAACTCGGATGTGTTGTAAGTTGGGGACTACCTGTATTCCAGAGGCTGCATCTGAGTGTTTTGGGGGATAGGATCCATAACTCTGACCTAAATCTCAGAGGGGCCTGTGAGCTGGTTTTCTGGACCACTCATTTGTAGAAAGAAAGAAAGGAAACATACCCAGTTGCTGTTGGCCCACTCAGACTCGAGGCAACCCCGTGCGTGTGGGAGCAGAGCTGGGCCCATGGGCTTTCCAGGGGCTGGTTTTTCAGAAGGAGATCACCAGGCCTTTCTTCTGAGGCACCTCTGGGTGGACTTGAACCAACGTTTTGGTTAGCAGCCGAGTGCTTAAACGTTTGTGCCACCCAGGACCCCCGCAGATGCGGAGGACTCCCTCGTGTATGTTTGCAGTCTTGGCCTCTCGCTGGAGTTCCAGGCCCTTATTCTAGAGATTTCCAGGAATCTGCTAGACATTTCCATCTAGGAAAGCTTTTCCCCCTACCTCCCTGCTCCCCATCACCATCATCTCACCCCTGGTCACACTCAGCAGGGTCCTAGATGGCCTCTCTGCCCCAGGCCTTGTCACCTAGACTCACTGTCCACATGGGAGCTTGAGTGACCTTTTTAAAGTATAAAGTAGACGTGTCGCTCTTCTGCCTAACACCCTCAGTGGCTTCTCATCACAGAAAGAATAAGAGCCCCTCGCAGTGGCCTACACCCCGGCCCCTCCCACTTGCCTCCCACTCCCCGGCTTCCGCCTCTCTCCCTCCACTGCTCGCAGCCTGCCTTTTGGTTTTCAATCCACCAAGCCTGTTTCCACATTAGGCCCCTTGCATGTGTGGCCCTTGTTGATCATCTTTGTTTCCGGTTAGAGTGTCAGCTGCGTTGCAGAAAGCATGGTCCTCCCATGCCTGTCCAGGGCTCCATCCCAGGACCCCCCTGTGTCTGTGGGAGCCTATAAATGTTGTTGAACGAAGGACAGAAGCTTTCACACGGCTGTGCTTCCTTCTGCAGGATCTGACGTCAGCCCTGACTCGGAAGATCACCCTGAAAACACCACTCATCTCCTCGCCCATGGACACTGTGACAGAGGCAGACATGGCCATCGCGATGGCGGTGAGTCAGTGCCCAGGTTGGGACATGAGGGCCTGGAAGGATGGGACGGGGTGCTTGCTGAAGGCCTGCCTGCAAGAATTGGAACAAGGAAGGGTCTGCAGAGTGACGGGAGGGCAGGGGGATGGGGTCTGCAGAGTGACAGGGGGCAGGGGGATGGGCTGAGGGGTGCAGTGGGCTGACGCCTGTCCCTGACCACCCTTTGCTTGCCCCCAGCTGATGGGAGGGATTGGTTTTATCCACCACAACTGCACCCCAGAATTCCAGGCCAACGAGGTGCGGAAAGTCAAGGCAAGTACGGGGCCCCATCCCTACAGAGAAGATCCTGCCTGGCGGCCCCCACTTTACCAGCCAACCCTGTGGGCTGGCCCATAGTCTGGGGCACAGGGCTGAAACCTCACTGGCCCACTGGCTCCTCTGTAGCACAGCCGGGCACCCTCCACCCCTTGTGCCCAGGCTGCACTCCTCTCTGGCTTCCTTCCAGCGTTTTCCTTCCCGTCTGCCCGTAGAAGTTTGAACAGGGCTTCATCACGGACCCCGTGGTGCTGAGTCCCTCGCACACTGTGGGCGACGTACTGGAGGCCAAGATCCGACATGGCTTCTCTGGCATCCCCATCACGGAGCGAGGCACCATGGGCAGCAAGCTGGTGGGCATCGTCACCTCCCGAGACATCGACTTCCTCGCCGAGAAGGACCACACCACCCTCCTCAGTGAGGTGCCTGCGTGGTGGGGAGAGGGTGGCTGGGGTACAGATAGTGCCCCACGCCCCAGGGCCTCAGGCTGGTGCCTATGACCAGGGACCAGAGGGAGGCCTGGCTCCCTTCTCTCTCACCTGCCAACCTGCAGGCAAATGTTCCTGGCCCCACAGGTGATGACGCCGCGGAACGAGCTGGTGGTGGCTCCAGCAGGTGTGACGTTGAAAGAGGCAAATGAGATTCTGCAGCGCAGCAAGAAAGGTACGAGGGCGGTCAGAAGACTCCAGACTCCCTGGCAGGCTTCCTGCACCCAGGGCCCCCTTCTCTTCATAGCCTCATAGGGTGTCCTGACAGCTAGACTGGACCTGGGGGAGATGGGAAGAGTCCAGGCTGGACCATGATCCCTGAGATCTTTTCCTGGCTTAGAAAAACTGTCCCTAGTTCAGCATCCTCACAGAATGTGTCCCAAAACACGAAGAAGAGCATCTGTTGCCATTGAGTCAATTCTGACTCACAGCGATGCTGTAGGACAGGGCGGAAATGGCCTATAGGTTTCCAAGGCTGTAAATCTTTATGCAAGCAGACTGCCTCATCTTTCTCCTTATAGAGCAGCTGATATGTTCAAATCACCCACCTTTCAGTTAGCAGCTGAGCGCTTAACCACTGTGCTACCAGGTCTTTCCCAAAACATTTCGTTCTGTGAAGTACTCGTGAAAAAAGGGTTCCGTGGCCCAGGAAATGGTACTTTCTCTAGCCCTCATCTTGCAGAAGGAACTGTACAGAGGTTTACTGAAGGCTCTGAGAAGTCCTACACTTAAATGCATTTGATATCAGCACTGTTTTCATCATATTCATCAGGTCCCTGGGGGATATACCGGGAAATGCTCACCGATCCATACCGGAGAGTTATTTGGGGGTGGCACTGGGCAGGGCACGTGCTCCCCCCTGCAGGACAGCCTCACATTTGTGCCCTGACTTCTTGTTGTTGTTGTTGTTTGCCGTCAAGTCAGCCCCGACTCATAGCGACCTAGGAGGTGGGAAAGAGGCAGGAGAGTCCAGGAGCCCTCTTGGCTGGGACTTTTTTTTTGCTTCCTGTTCCTTAGGAAGAAGTCCTGGTCCCTGGGAGTGCTTCCTCAGTGGGTGCTGTCACCTAGTGGCTAGTTTGGGTACTTCAGGGGAATTGCCAGCTGGGCCCTTCCATTAGGCCACCCTGCCCCTCCAAACCAGCAACACACCTGGCTTCCTGGAGGTGTGGGACAGAGAAGCATGCACCTTCATGTTACGTCTGCCTTCCTCGGCAGGGAAGCTGCCCATTGTCAATGAGCGCGATGAGCTAGTGGCCATCATTGCCCGCACTGACCTGAAGAAGAACCGGGACTACCCTCTGGCCTCCAAAGACTCCCACAAGCAGCTGCTGTGTGGGGCAGCTGTGGGCACCCGCGAGGATGACAAGTACCGCTTGGACCTGCTCACCCAGGCAGGCACCGACGTCATCGTGCTGGTAGGGCGCCCCCTGGGGACGGCTGTGGGAGAGCCCAGAGGGGAGTTGGTCAGCAGAGGGAGAGGCTTATGAAATCCTGAGTTTGCCTCTGATCAGTCAGGGAGCGGCTTCTGCGGCTGCTCTGTTGTCAGAATTAGAAGGATCACCATTACACTCGACAGCTTAGAACAAACACCTGTCTGAGGGCCTTCCTCGCTCCTACGTTGACGGGAACCATCACAGCTCCCGGTCATCGAGACCTACCACTGGCCAGGCACCACGCTAAAACCTTTATGTATTTTAACTCATTTAATCTGCACCCCTTTGAAAGGTACGATTATCTTGCCCATTTATGAGATGAAGCAACTGAGGCTTACAGAGATTAAGTCATTTTCTTTAGAGAGTCAGTGTGTGGAGCCAGGGCATGACCCCAGGCACTGTTCCTGGCTGCGATGCCCGAGCCACGCTATGGGCTTCATCCACTACGGTTGTTTGGGGCCAGCAAGTCCATTCGGACTCACGGCAACCCCATCTGGCAGAGTAGACTGCCCCTTAGGTTTTCCAAGGCCATGATCTTTGCATGAGACAGAGGAGCCAGTTGTAGCTGAGTGCTTAACTGTTGTGCCACCAGGGCTCCTGCTACAGTCTGTGGCACTTAGCCTTTTGGAGTTAGCCGGCCACTTTGAGAATCAGCTGAAAGCTGTCAAGTGTCTCTTCCCCCAAAACAGAAAGAGCACTGCTCTGACAATTGTCATGATTTCAGGGGTCCTGCCCATTAAAGGAAGGTGCTGTGGTGGTGCTGCAGTAGTTACAGGCATTTGGCTGCTAACCAGAAGGTCTGTGGTTCAAACCTACCAGCTTCTCTGCAGGAGAAGATAAAGCAGTCTGCTTCTGTAAAGATTCACAGCCTTGGAAACCCTACAGGGGGTCCTATGAGTTGGAATTGGCTCTGTGGCAGTGAGTTGGGTTTGGGTTTGGCCCACGAAAGGAGCTCCTCCCCCAGTGAGCTTCCTGTCCTCTCCTCACAGGACTCGTCCCAAGGGAACTCGGTATATCAGATTGCCATGGTACACTACATCAAGCAGAAGTACCCCCACCTGCAGGTGATTGGTGGCAATGGTGAGTCCCTCTCCTCGCTGCCCTTGCCCCTCACCGTGTCACTCTTCTCTGTCCTTCACATCGCTGGGTGCTGGCATTGCCCTGGAGTGGGGGCCTGGCTGGATGGGCTTTGGTCACTGCTGGGGGTGCTAGATCCTAGGAGGCTTCAGGCGCGAGGACAGCCATCCTCACACTGTTCCTGCTCCGTACCGACAGTGGTGACAGCAGCTCAGGCCAAGAACCTGATCGACGCCGGGGTGGATGGGCTGCGTGTGGGCATGGGCTGTGGTTCCATCTGCATCACCCAAGAAGGTAGGTGCCAGCGGGACAGCGAGTGGTGGCCGGTCTCAACACCCACTCTGGTCCCTCATTCTGTGAGTCAGTACCGAATGCACTCTGAATTGCGGGTGCCTTCCCACAATGGTGGGCTCAGTGTGATCCAGGCACAGACCCTGCCCCGTAGGCACCACGGACCCGGAGGAGGCAGGTGTGAGCAGGTGAGGCACTGAGCTCTGGGTGTGAGCCAGCCGGCTTCTCAGGTTCTGGTCCAGGTGGCCCAGGTGGGAGGTCCCAGGCTGGTGTGACTGCTGGTTAGAAGCCAGCTGGGGTTTGGGTTAGATTTGTGGTAAAGTATCAGACACTCAAGACGTGGAGACAACCTGCCCTGAATCTATAAGGATCTTACACATCTGTGTAGTGTAGTAGAACCCTGGGTGGTGCGAATGGTTAATGTGCTTAGCTGTTCCAAACGGTTGGGGGTTCAAGTCCACCCAGGGGCATCTCAGAACAAAGGCCTGGCCGTCTGCCTCTGAAAAGTCCCCCCCCCGGAAAAACCTACAGTGCACAGTTCTGTTCTGACACACGTGGGGTTGCCATGAGTTGGGATTGACTTGAGGGCAGGTGGCTTTAGCGTGTGTGTGGGGTTCACTCAGTCATGAAGCCCTTTAGGGGAGTGGGTTCTCGTGTATGGGGTGGGGAGGGTGAGACTCTGACATGTGCTCCCTCAGTGGCTGAGGGGACATACCCTGGAGGCTATTGTCTGATGTAGGGGCCTAGCTACCAGAAGAGATGGGTCCTGGCTTAGCCCGAGGAGTATACCTGGCCCCTCTGTGAGGGTCACTTCTCCAGAGCCCTGGATGACCCGTTTGGTCTTCTGTGCCCCAAACACTCCCCACCCCGGGTCTTCAGAGCTTCTACGCTAGGTGTTGCCACCCTCTGCCTTAGCTGATCTCTGTGGTGGAATGGGGCCCTCTTTCACTCACTCACCAAATGCTTGGGGAGCATCCATGCATCAGTTACTGGTCTAAGCCTTGGGGTACAGTAGGTATGTTACACAATGCACGCCAGAGGAAGTCCTTTCTCTGGTTTGTTGTTAGGTGCCGTCGAGTCGGCTCCGACTCATAGCGACCCCGGGTACACCAGAACGAAACACTGCCGGTCCTCTGCCAGCCTCACAATCCCTGCTATGCCTGAGCCCGTCCTTGCAGCCACTGTGTCAGTCCATCTCATTGAGGGTCTTCGCCTTTTTGCTGACCCTGCACTTTACCAAGCATGATATCCTTCTCCAGGGACTGGTCCCTTCTGACAACATGACCAAAGTAGGTGAAATGAAGTCTGGCCATTCTGGCTTCCAAGGAGCACTCCGGCTGCACTTCTTCCAGGACAGACTTGTTAGTTCTTCTGGCGGCCCATGGTACTTTCAGCATTCTCCGCCAACACCACAACCCAAAAGCATCAGCTCCTCTTCAGTCTTCCTTCCTTGTCCAGCTTTCACGTGTCTGTGAGGCTATTGAAAATACCCTGGCTTGGGTTGGGCGCACCTTAGTCTTCAAAGAGACTTCTTTGTTCTTCAGCACTTTAAAGAGGTGTTTTGCAGCAGGTTTGCTCAGCGCACTCCTTCCTCTGGTGTCTGGGCTGCCGTTTCCATTGGTGTTGATTGTGGAACCCAAGTAATAGGAAGTCTTTGACAACTTCAATCTTCTGTCCATCTATCGTGATGCTGCTTATTGGTCGAGTTCTCTGGTTTCACCAGCCTTCTATCCGTCCCTAGATGTGTGCTGGTTCTTTAGACATCCCTTCAAACCTTGCACTAAGGACCTTAAACAGTGAAACGCAGAGAAATGCGAACATTTTAAGAGAAGCGGCATCCCTCAGGGTCCTGATGGGGACCATGAGTCTCTGACCCTAGTAATAGTTTTTGTAAATGAAAGTCTCAAAGAGGAACCTGTGCTGTGAGTGGGTGAGTCTGGGAGCACCGGGCCTGAGCTGGTGCACTGGTCTGGGGGTGCCACCCTCGGAAGGACAGCAGTGATCCTGCTACCCATCAGACTCCCCTGTAGTGCCGTCACGGGTGGTGTGACCCAGGTCCCTAGGGTCAGAGTGACACTCACCTGGTGGCATTTGCTGTCATCTGCCTATCTTACAGGAGTCCCTGGGTAGCACAAACCATTAAGCACTCAACTGCTAACCAAATGGTTGGGAGTTTGGGTCCACCCAGAGGCCTGGGAAAAAAGGCCTGGCAGTCTACTTCTGAAAAAAATCAGTCATTAAAGACCTGACAGGGCACCAGGAGTCCGAGTCCGCAGCGCTTGGTTTAATCCTGATGCTTTGCAGCCCTGTCCCTTTTCCCCAGTGTCGGGGTGGGACCCTGGGAGAGGGCGGACCTGGCCTGTGCTGCTCCTGATGCATCTCTGCCTTGTTGCCTCCTTCCCTCCCCGCCCCTAGTGATGGCCTGTGGCCGGCCCCAGGGCACCGCCGTGTACAAGGTGGCTGAGTATGCCCGGCGCTTTGGGGTGCCTGTCATAGCCGACGGTGGCATCCAGACCGTGGGCCACGTGGTCAAGGCTCTGGCCCTTGGTGCCTCCACAGGTAGGGGGGGCTCTGCTGAGGACTGGGCAGGTGGGGGCTGGGAGTAGGTGGGGCACGAGGCTCGGGGGCTGCAGGCGCTGACCCTTGCCTGCCGCAGTGATGATGGGCTCCCTGCTGGCTGCCACCACGGAGGCCCCTGGCGAGTACTTCTTCTCGGATGGGGTGCGGCTCAAGAAGTACCGGGGCATGGGCTCGCTGGACGCCATGGAGAAGAGCAGCAGCAGCCAGAAGCGATACTTCAGGTGCCTGCCCTGGGCCCCGGCCCAGGCAGATAAGCCCTCGACCCTCAGAGCCCACACGCCAGTGACTTCCTAGGGTGGCACCCAGTCCATACGTTACAGATTGGGCACAAGGCATAAGCAGCCAACCCGGGACCGACCTGGGCTGCCTGACTCAGGATCCGTCCTTAGTTTAATGTTGTAGCCCAGCAAGTAGTTGCTTTTGGGGAACCTTCGGGGTGGTACCCCCTCTGCTTGTGCCCTTGAGAGGTGGGGCCGGGTCCCCTGAGCTCAGTGTCCTGCCCTCCCACAGCGAGGGGGACAAGGTGAAGATCGCACAGGGCGTCTCGGGCTCCATCCAGGACAAAGGCTCCATCCAGAAGTTCGTGCCCTACCTCATCGCAGGTATCCAACATGGCTGCCAGGACATTGGAGCCCGGAGCCTGTCTGTGCTGCGGTGAGAGCCGGGACGAGAGTGGGGAGCCCCTGGGAGGCTTCTGGAACTTTCCTGCTTCCTGTCTCTCTCTCCTTCACCTTTGTGTTCTGACGTGCTCTGCACACTTCCCTACCAGATCCATGATGTACTCAGGAGAGCTCAAGTTTGAGAAGCGAACCATGTCGGCTCAGATCGAGGGTGGTGTTCACGGCCTGCACTCGTAAGTGGGTCGGCCCCCGCACCCCAGCCGATTGGGCCCAGGCTGGGCATGTGGGGCCGTGCACCATCTCACCAGGAATGGGGGCTGCTGCAGGATGCCCCCATTCTCTCCTCAGACCCCAGCCCACCTTCGAGCCCTGGCCTTAGTCCCATGCAGGCAGGACACGGGAGGTGTGGCCATTAGCTCTGCTGGGGTCCGGGCCCTTGCTTGCTCAGAAGCTTGGTGGTGGTGGTGGCAGGGGGCTGTTGGTGCTGGGTTCTCACTGGTGGCGGCACCAGGCAGGCAGCAGAGACAGGGGGCCTGGGCCCTCTGGTGGGGGAACAGGGCAGAGAGACAGGTGCAGGGTCAGCGCCGGGGCGGCTGGGGCGGGAGCAGAGAGCTGCAGCGGTGGTGCCAGGCACATGGCCTGCCCTGGCCAAGAGGGCCTGTCTCCCCAGCATAGCGGGCATCTAACCTGTGTCTCTTTCTGCCCCACCCTCCCGTAGCTATACCTTTCTACCGTGTAAGTAACTGCGCTGCCCGGGCCAAGCGTAGAGTAGAGCAGGGGCAGTCTGGGTGGGACCCGGGTCTGGGAGGTGGGGCAGTAGGCTGTGGGCGGTGCTGGGGTGTAATCACGGGATGTGGACTCTGGGATTGGGGTCTGCCCCGACCCAGCACCATGGTGGGGGGCACCAGCAGTGCCCCATCATCCAGGTGGAACACAAAGCCCTTTCTTCTGGGATGTAGAGGAGTGCCCGTGACGGCAGGCCTGCAGCTGCCTGTCTGGGCTGGGACCCGGGACCGCCAGGGGTACTGGCAGCAGGGCTGGGGAGACGCAGAGTGGCAGAGGCGCAGCTCCTGGGTCTGTGTGAGGCTGACTGAGCCTTCCTAACTGGGTTCATCCCAGGCATCAAGGCCACTCTGCTCTGCGGGCCTCTCCCCCTGGCCCGGCTCCTCAGGAAGTCCCCACCAGGGAGGACAGAGACACAGGGCCTGCTCTCTGCCTTCCCCCACCGCCCATGGCCCAGGCAGGGGCTGCTGTGGCCCTGGGCCTGGGCAAGGGGATTGGGGAAGGGAGCTGGGTCCACATGCCCACTCCCGGTGCCCTCTTGCCTTGAACCCACAGTTACGAGAAGCGGCTGTACTGAGGACGGCGGTGGAGGCCGAGGTGGTGGAGGGGGCATGCCCCCTGGGCCTTCCTTTGAGCCCAGCCTCCCTCCATAACTGAGCGGCCCACAGATTTGCACTACAGGTTCCCCAGCTCCTGTCAAGAGAGAGAGAGAGAGAGAGGAGGGGACAAGGGGTCCCCAGGGGCTGGCAGTGCTCCCCGGGCACCCCTGCAGCCAGAAATGCTCCTGGGCCAGGCTGCCCTGGGAGCTCCCGGGCCCTGGACCCAGCACCCCAGCCCAGCCGCCCAGGCTCTCAGGCCTCGTGCCTGCCTCAGGTCTTTCTAGCCGCAGCCTGCTCCAGCTGGCTCGCACCCCGGCAGGTGGCCCCTTCTGTAGGGCACCCCCGGAAATGGTGCTCTCCTAGCCCCGCCTCTGGCCCATCCTGGGCTGCCACCCCCTCAGCCACGTGGCACTTCTGGGCTCCTGGCCCAGGCTAGGGGGAGGTCTCTGCCCCCTTCCTCTGGCCCCTCAGCTATCCTGGGCGCTGCTCCTCAGGCCACTCCCCCATCCCCGGCCCTGGGGACGAGGCCGCCCTGGCCTTGGCCTCCTGCCCATCATTCCGACCCTCCACTATCCCCAGGTGTACCATTCCTGCCCTCCTCTCAGCTGCAGTCGAAGGCTTTAACTTTGCACACTTTGGGGTCATGTTGGCGTTGTTGTATATGAAATAATCTGAATAAATCAAGCAGGTCTCAAGGCATCAGCTATCCTGTCTCTGTCCCCTTCCTGGTGGGCTGTGATGCAGGCCTTGTCAGAGCCAGGCTGGGAGAGGTGCCAGGCCCAGCCTCCCCAGGAAGGTGATGAGGGTGTCACAGTACTCGACAGGGTGCCGGTGCAGGTGGGCCACGTGGCAGGTGGCTTCCCAGGCCTGTGGGCCTGCGCCGGTGCCCCTGCCTGTCACTCACTAGCCAGCAGCTCCCGCAGGCGGGCAGTGTCGCAGAGGGGCCCTCACAGCAGCTCCTTGCACTACAGTGTCTCCTAGCGTCATACCTTCTTCAGGGATGGGAAGGAAAGAGCTGGAAGGCAGGACTGTTGGGTGGGCCGAGAGCTGGTTCAGCACGTGCCCCGAGAGCTGTTGCTTTCAGCTTTGGAGCCTGTCACCCAGCTGAGCATCTGTCTTGGGAGTCACCTGCTAGCGGTTAGAAGGAACCATGATACCCTGGGGGATGCAAGGGGTGGACCGCAAAGAGGCCACAACTTGTGGTTTGCCTTACACACTGGTTTACAAAACTGCACAGGAAGCAGCTTGACCAGGAATTGAGATTTAACAGTCTGTGGGTTTTAGACAAGTTGCTGCATCTAGGGTATGAGTAGCTCGATGGGAGAAGCAGAGCTGACCTTGGAGCATAATGGTTAATTGCTCAGCTATGAACCGAAAGGTTAGTGGTTCAAACCCACCTAGCTGCTCCGTAGAGGAAAGACCTGGTTATCTGCTCCTGTGAAGATTTCAGCCTGGGGAACTATGTGGCCATTCATGGGGTGGCTGTGAGTGAGAACCTGACAGCACCTAACAAATGGAATGGGTTATGCTGCGAAACAGCGATGACACACCGGCAATACCTGGCCCTTCTAGAGGAGGTTTAGCTAAACCTAGAGAGCTAATAACGTGTCCAGAGACTCAGGTTCACTGAGATAGGATGGGGCCTGAGCCCCTGACTTTGGACTTTGTTGCCAAGGTGACACTGATACAGAGCAGAGTTTGAGCCCATTTTGATGCAATCCACGCACCCAATTACATGATTTCCAAGCCTCCTTCCAAAGTTCATGTGCTAAGAATTTAAGGAGAGGACACCTTCCCCAAGGCCTCCCTGTGAGAGAATTGTGAGAGGAAAAGTGGAAAGTTCAGGGGTCTGTAATAGTCTGGTGGCGTAGCGCCTAAGGCATGTGACTGCTAAGCGGAAGGCTGGCGGTTCAAACCCACCAGCCACTCCTCAGAAGGAATATTTAGGCAATCTACTTCCGTAGAGATAACCGCCTCGGAAACCCGAGGAGTCACTATGAGTCGAATCCACTGCATGGCAGTGAGGTTTTTGTTGTTGTTTCTCTCCTCCTCCCCATGAATTATGGCTGAAAATAAGTGGTAGGGCTGGGCCTAGACCACACCCTCCTCCTGGGTGTAAATCTAGCCACTGTCCTGGAGGCCCACATGGGACGGAAGGACAGATCTGGTAGACAGGTCACATCAGGTGGTCATTTGGGACACACGCAGATCACAGGCCCCTTGGCCAGCACGACAGCATGTCCTCCTGGTGTCCAGCCTGAGTGGATGTCCCAGCACACCCTGCCCTCACCTAGCACAGTCCCCCAGCTCCATGCGGTTCAGGCTGCCCACCACTAGGCTGTCGAAGATGTGGCCTCACGGTCGCCTCACCAGGCTGCTGTGGCGCCCCGGGTCTCGGCTCATGAGCACCAGCATCTGAGTGAATGTGTAGCCCCCCAGGGAAAAGGCATACACCACCAGGGGGCAGCAGGCCAGCGCCCCGGGCTCCTGCAACAACAGTACTAGCAGCCGGGCAGCAAGCCCTAGGACCAGCGTGGGCACAGGAAGTGCCCAGCGTGCTCTCGGCAGCCCGCACGTTGAAGCCCCAGGCCAAGTACAGCTCCAAGCACCTAGCCAGGGCAGGAGCAGGAACAGCGGGTGTGGGTTGGGGGAGCTGGGTGGGCCTGATGGGCCTGGCCTACTGTATAGGCGGGTGACCATCACGTCGTCGGGGAGCAGTGGGGCCACTAACATCGCTGGAGCTCCCTGGGGAACAGATGGGGAGGCATGGCAAGTATTCTCACATGCCTGGCCCGGGAAGCCAAGAAGGGCCGGACCAGCCTCTGGGGCCCCTTTCAGAGGCTGTGGTCTGGTGCCAATCAGGAAGTGGGGGGCCGGCCTGGAGGAGGGTCAGCACCTGCTGGGTCTGATTCTGCTCCCCACAGTCCTCTCGCCACCCATTCTCCACACTTCCTGTGAGTGGGGTCTACAGAGGTCCAGCCAGGAGGAGGGGGCTGGGAGCCAAGGAGAGGCTGAGTGAAGAAGTGGGGAGGTGGGGGAAAAGGGCAGCTCCTCGTTGGTTCCCCTACTCTGAGCTTTTTGCTCTCTCAGGATCCCTCCTGGCTTGTGATCGCCCAGTTCCACCCCTGCCTCACATACAGGCCCCTGCCTCACACATAGGTCCCTTGTCAGGGGCCTGGGGGACCAGTTCTATCCTCATCCCTTCTGCTTCCAGCTGAGGAGAGTTTGCAGGCAGGGATCTGGTCAGTGTCTAGCCCCTGCAACCTCCCCCAGGCTGCCCACTAGCTCTGGACACCAGCCCCAACCCCCCAGCCCCCTGCTCATACCTGTGGTCCTCAGAACGGGCACCTCCTTCCAGGAGCAGGAGTCACCGCCATCAGCCTCCTCCTGGGTTCCATTCCCGCTCAGCTCAGGAGGGAAGAGAGGCAGAGCCAGGGAGCCCGGAGACCTCATCCCCAAGCTCCCGTCTGCTCCTCTTAATCTCATTGACAACGACGTCAGTTTCTGGGCTGAGAGCCAGGGTGTCTGGCTCCTGGGCCAGCAAGGCCCCCAGCCCAGCTAAAGCTGGGGAGAGAGCCCCTGGGTAACAGGATGCAGGATAAGCCCCCACCCCCCTTGTGCCTCAGTTTCTCTTTTTGTGATCCTCAAAAGGATCCGTCCCCTGGAGGCACCCCAACAGCCTCCCATCTTCTGACACCCCATCTCCTGACACCCCATTTCAGATGCTCAGTCCTAACCTTTCAGGACGGGCTGGCCTCAGTGTGGCCAAGCGCAGGGGCTACCTGGGCAGAGATCAGACTCAGGAGTCCTGGTCACCCAAAGCAGAGTCTTTCTGCTTCCTCCTCCGCCCAGTGGCGCCCTTTGGAGGCTCCAGGGGGCTTCTCTGACAAGGTGCACGCAGGGTGCGTGGGTGGGTGGGAAGGCTCTCCTCAGAGCAGGCCGGCAAGTCAGGACAGGAGACTTTCCAGGGCCCAGAAGGAGGAGCAAGCCAGGAGGGGGCGTGGCCTAAGGCCCTTGCTGGGACCCTGGGTGCCACATTGCCACCCCGACTTTAACCTCTTCATCTCCACTGCTCTCTCCTTGTGTCTGCACTGTGAAGCCTGACCTTCGGGAAGCCCCCCCGGGGAGCGGCTTTTTTGGGACTACCAGGAGTCCAGTCCCTGTCTGCTTGCCTTCTGTGCCAGGAAGGACCTTGCTGCTCCCGTGCTCCCTGTGATCCGTGCGCTCCTGCTCCTTTCCGGACGCTAGTCTAGGGGGAACTCCAGGAACTGAAAAGGAGCAATGATCTTCTGCAGTGGAGGTCTGGGAAGAAGCCAGAAGGGCAGGGGCGTGGTCTCCGCTCGCCAGCACCAAGCCCCTGGGTCAGGTCAGGGCACAGGGGAGGCAGTGCCGCACTGCCTCCAGCAGATGGCGCCAGGGCCCGTGAACCTGAGAGACCCCGGGGAGCCCAGAGTTGGGCAGGTTCCTAGGCAACAGGCTGCATTTTCTGAAAGCCCTGCTATTAGCAACCATGGTTGCCCACATCCATTGTAGAATCAGGGTCTGGAGGAAAGGAGAGGCATGTTGTTGTTGTTGTTGTTGTTGTTGTTGTTGTTAGGTGCCGTCGAGTCGTTTCCGACTCATAGCGACCCCATGCACAGCACAACGAAAGACTGCCCAATCCCGGGCCAGCTCCATGATCCCTGCTGTGTTTGAGCCCATCATCGCAGCCACCGTGTCAATCCATCTCGTTGAAGACCTCCCCCTCTTTCGTCGACCCTCCACCCTACCAAGCATGACATCCTTCTCCAGGGAATGGTCCCTTCTTACAACATGACCAAAATAGGTGAGATGAAGTCTGGCCATTCTCGCTTCCAAGGAGCATTTTGGGTGCACTTCCTCCAGGACAGATCTGTTACTTCTTTTAACAGTCCATGGTACTTTCAGCATTCTTCGCCAGCACCACAACTCAAAAGCATCAACTCTTCTTTGGTCTTCCTTATTCATTGTCCAGCTCTCACATGCATACCAGGCGATTGGAAATATCATGGCTTGTGTCAGGCGCACCTTAGTCCTCAAGGAGACATCCTTGCTCCTCAGCACTTGATACAGTTCCTTCGTGGTTGACTTTCCCAATGCTACATGTCGTCTGATGTCCTGACTGCTGCTTCCGTTGGCATCGATTGTGGAACTAAGCAACGTGAATTCTTTGACAGCCTCAATCTTCTCTCCATTTATTGTGATGCTGCTCATTGGTCCAGTTGTGGGTTTGAAACACCAGTGGCTCAGCCTCAAAACTCACATCAACACATCACCACGGTAGGACAAACCAACAGACAAATTTGTCTCCCTGTAAGAGAGGCATGAGGGTAAAATAATCCAAGTGCTGAGAGGGGAAGTGACATAAAGATCCCAGTGTTCTGCTGCCGTTCATGACTCCTTGGCACCAGTCTCTGTTCTGGGGTGTTGGCCCACAGCAACCCTATAAGGCAATAATAAATGTCCCCATATTTCAGATGGGAAAACTGAGGGTCAGAGAGCCAGAGTGAGGTGCTCGAGTCACCAGTTGGTAAGAAGCAGATCAGGTTAGGAACTGGACTGGTCTGGGTAGCTCCAGCTCCATACCACTCCAAAAATATCTAAACCCCCCAAGTGCAGCTGACCGTGACAGGACAACCCCAAGTCATCATCATCTCTGGCCTGGTTACCGGCCTGGTTACCG